TCCTGCAGCAGAGATATTTTTACATCTTTCATTAAACCTTCCTATAAATAGGAGAAAAAACAGAGCTCATGGAAGTGCAGTTGAAACTATTTTCAGTGGCTCGGTGCTTATTAAAAGAAAAACCCAGCACACGGCAAGCCTGGACACAGGCTAGGAGACAAGGTGGGCAACTTTCCCAGGAACATGCAGTGTGGGAGGGCAGGATGCAACACCCCGCAAGCCCCACTCTCGTCAGGCCCTAGGACCGGAGAGGGGGCTGCACACAAAGCTGCCGGAGCCCGGAGCTGCTCTGCACCCGCCCCTGGCACCGAGGACGGCCCCGACAGCCCTTTGGGCAGGGCGCAGCCAGCTAGCGCCAGCTCCTCCCGCCCCGCGGGGCACAGCCCAGGAAAGCTGCCCGGGCACGGGAGCACTGGGGCTTGGGAGAGCGGAGCAAGCGGCACCACAGCGGGCACGGCTCGGCCTCTGCCGTCCACCCCTCCCTGTCCGGCCAGCGCAGCCGCCGGCCAGCCATAGAGCCCCACCGAGATGCGTGCCCTGAGAGTAGACTTTTTGCTAGTAACCGTTGTTGATAGCCCACAGATTTCTATGCTTTGATGAGAGATTCGGGCTTTTCCCTTTCAATTCAAATCTGTATTTTTCTAATGCTGATCCCAGGTCTGTATGAATTTTTATAAAACGTTATCATTAACCTTCTGGACCCCGCTGCCATACGTAACGAAGATGCTCCCTCTTCATAGAGAGGCTCAGCATAGCATGAGAGCAGAGGCGGCAGCTACCATCTCACAGGAGCGAGAGCTACTGGACACGGCAAGACCTTCGGCATCGCCCTCCTGCCAGAAAAAACAGGCGCCGTTGCATCCTTCACAAACACCCTATCTGTGAGAAAGGGCCCTGTGGATTCTCCGGCAGAGCAGCATCAAATCCACTTCTTAGCTAGCAGGTTTTATCTATCGAGCAAATCATCTGGAAATTATCTGCCTTTAAAAACAGGACACATTTTGTGAAGAACTATATATTTTTAGACCTTGATGCAGCTGATGGTGAACAGCATGGATAAAATAAGAAAAAGCAAACATCAGTTTGAGTTTGCTTGTGCTTCCCAAAGCTATTTCTAACCAAAAAAAGATGGTGTGAAAATATTTTCGAGTTTGGCTAACAGTTTGCCATTTAAAACACAATCCATATGAGGCTCTTTGCGAGCAGCAGCGGGTTTGTCAGGAACACACTTTAAAACAGAAGGCCACTGCCTGTAGGCATTACACGCTTTTCATTTGTTTTTTAATAGCAGTATCCAAAAATACTTTCCGAGGCACCAAAACAGCTAACAGAAAGACTTTTGAATTTCTCTTGCTTGTACGGCGGACCGCTTTCTTGATCCCAAACAAAATGCAGGAATGGTTTTGGAAGTAAACAAAGCAGATCCTAAAAAGCCCATTTCCGAGCAGAGTATTGTAGAAGTTTCTACCAGGTTCTGCTGCAGGAGAGGCTGACCCTTTTCCACGCGGACAGCCCTTTTCCACAGCCCACCACCAAGCCGGCCGGACCACTGCAGGCTGCGAGGGAGGTGACCAGCATCCCTTCGGCCCGAGGGGACGGTCCCGCAGGCGGCTCGTGGCAGGCACTGCAATAGCACCACGAAGGAGCCGTCACACAGCAGCTTTCCAGGAAAGCTCCAAATCCTTAGTTTGCAAACGACTTTTGCAACCACATCCCCAGCTGCCACAAGCATGCCTGGCAGCTCATGCAAGCACGAGGTTTCACGAGCACCATATGCTGAAGCGGTGGGCACGTTCCACGCGTGTAATTAAAATGAATCACTCGCCATCCAAAGGAGCGTGACCACACACGCACAAATACGGCAGCAGAAGACGACATATCCAGACCCCGCTGCCTGTCTCCGCAGGGTATACCATTTGCTCTCCATTTCAGATATATCAACGTTAAAAGACAGAGCGAGGTATTCCCTCGCAGCAGGGGGAATTACAAATGCTACGCGCGGGGATGCACCACGAGACCTGCTCTCAGCCGGGCAACACTCCTGCGATCGCTCATGGGGCCTGGGAGTCAAAAGTGCCAGCTCAGCCGCTGCGGACACCGGCCTGCCAGCACCAGGGCCTTGAACGTGAGCTGTTACGAGGGCGTTGGGAAACCACGGCCCGTGACCCCCTGCCCCCGGCCACTTTCCATCTCTGAGGTAGGATGAACGGGCATTTCATCACTCCCACTGAGCTGCACCGAGGAGAGCCAGGTCTCTCCAAGGAGAACATTTAGCTGCGAGACCACAAGACAGAACGCAGTAACTACTGGAAGGACATCAGCTCTCCCCTTCCCCCTTCCCTTTTTTAAAAGCATGACATTGTAGGGATTTTTGGGAAAAATGGGAAACAAAGTCTAATTTATTTTAAATTAATGCAAACTTTGGCCAGGATCAATATAACTTATACCTACTAAGTTGATTGCATAATGCATTTTCCTTATGCGTTGTGAAAGCCAAATCATCTTGCATTGTAGAAGACAAAAAAAAGAAAAAAAAAAAAAGAGGCTGCCATTGAAAAGCAAGAAAATCCCAATTACAAAGTCCCCAAGTTCCTAAACACATATCGTGAAAGTATGTGCAGCTCTGCGGCATATGGCAAATCAATTACTAGTTTAAATTTTAAAACAAAAACATGGTAAATGTGTTGCAGAAATAATCAAGAACAACGGTTTGGTTTAGATTACAGCGGCCACTAGAGTTTTGAATACAATTAATCATCATTCCAGGCAATGGGAAGCCATATTGACACTTATTCCTAATTTGAATATTTAATTAGGGTGAAGTTCTTCATCAAATTATCACAGAACTGGGAGGAAAGCCTAAAAGATTTAAACAATTACTACTTTAACCCTTCACCAACTGCTCACCTGTGAGCACAAGAATCTTTTCCCTGTTCTGCAAAGCAAGAACATGCTCAGGCAATAGGAAAAGACAGTATTTAAGACACTACAAATACCCTGGGAAAGGTGCACGGACACGTGGCATCCTGCGGGGCTCCTTCGGAGATGCCAGACTGACACAGGCTTCTGACTACCTACGCTCCTCGACCTTTACCAGAGCAAAGCTTTCAGGCCAGATCTCTATTTCAGCATCAAGCATGGCTCTTATTAGGGCTCGTGTGTTTTGGTTTTTATTGGGTTTTTTGCTGTTTTGTTTTTAACCAAAGAGCCTGTCCAGAATCATCCGCCAGGTTCACCTGCTGAGGAACGAAACCCTCTTCTGACGGTACCGAAGCGGCCAAACACCGGCTGACCTGGCACAGCCACCCGGTCCTGCCCGCCCTGCACGGCAGGTTTCCCAGCCCCTGTCCTGCACCGGGAGCTCACGGGACGGGGCTGGACCCCGACGCTGCTCTGGACCCACTGCACCTCCTGCCACACCGTGGGTATCCTCCCTTCGCACAGCTCTGCCTCACATCGCTCAAACATCCCTCTCTGTGCTGTACTAATCCATATAAGAAAATCTCTTTTAATGAGGAGTGATATAGTTATGAACTCTCTAGAGCCATAATTAGAGCAAACTAATTGAAGTTGTGTTTTGACACACTTTCCAAATTCACGAGTACTTCATGACATATTCACAACACTACTGCTGCACAGCCATGGCGACAGCAAAATCATTAGGCTAATAACGCTTATTTGCATTCTTATCATGCCAGCAGCATGCCGTTAAATACTGCTTCAACCAGTGCTCGTTTACTCTGAAAGTTTCCACTGAAAGATATTAACAGTAATTATTAGTACTTTAGTGGAATCTCTAATGTTAAGGAATGGCAACTCACATTAACTACCCCCATGCCAATTATTTTCCTTTTGAACTATCACAAAAAGCAGCTTTCTTCCTCCCCGCTGAATGAAAGCAACGGGGCAGACTTGGTGCTGCCAGGAAGAGGGAAGGACGGAGGGACGCCTGCTCCAGCAAGGCCAGCCGTCAGGGCTCCAGGCCGCTCTCTCCAATGCTGAAGTCAAAACCCCACTGTTCCAGCATGGGTTAAATACAAAAAATATTTTTCCCCAGCATACGATAACTTCCAGGCAATTTAGGCTGAAACAGCTGCAACAGCACAGTTCAGGACAGGGTAGATTTAATTACTCTCTTAACTTCCCTTTTGCTTTTAGTCATTAAATCTATGGAACACATCTACATACGACAGCAACAGAAGCAGCACGTGATGAGAGAGATCC